AATAACCATTTCTGTTGTCCAGGGCTTGTTTTGCTTGCAGCACAATGGTTTGGTAACAAAGTGGCAAGTCAGTGGAGTCATAATGAATCTCTTACCAGTTTTTAGGTCTTTTTGACCCAGGAGTTTGTGTCCTATGAAATCTTTACTTTTTGGATTTGTTAAAATACTTTACAGCGAGCAGATTTTAATTAAATTGATACCATACTGATGGAAGTTGGATAACATTACCCAAAGGGAAGAGATACATGGGGATAAATTGGAAAGAGCTTAAGAAGTTCTGCTAACATTTGATGCAAGTGAGAGGAGCAGCTACGTTTGAGAAGTTTCTTCCTGTTCCCAGTCAAGAGCAAGTAGAATCTGCCCTTTACCCCTAGTGTCTGCAATGTTGTTCTTCTGCCTTGTGATATCATTGTCAAGAAAATGTGCCCGAATCCTAAGTGGCACATGTTCTTGCCTATGGTTGAAGAAGCCTGTAGGTTATTTGTAAGGTATTGCAGATTCAAGGCTGCAGAAGTGACAGGGGGACTTAGGGAGTACTCTTGTCCAGGAAGGGAAGCTTCCCAGACATTACAACTCTTGTCTAGGAGCCAAATGGAAGATAAATCACCACTGGCCACCTCTTCTTATTGAAATGGTTCAGCCCTGGCCTTTAACTGGAGGATCACAGAGTTTTGAAGTGCAAATAGGATAGTGAAGGGTAAACCCTTTTAGGACTTCATGTTGATGGATTTTCCCGAGTGGGTTTCTAACCCTGACTGTGATCTGGAAGCGACCCTGAAAGAAAGAAAAGTTTTACTTTGTTTTTGATCAGTCAAGCAATAAGAACTTTTCATAGGGGTGTGCTTTCTGTGCATGCGTATGGGTTTCCTGCACATGTATATTGGTCTTGTTGTCTTAGACGAAGATAATTTAATTGGATCTTTTGGGACCCCTTTGCAGAAGTGCTGTCATTTGAAGGTCACTTCTCTCTTGCTACTAATGCCCAAGTTTGAGAGTACTCAAGGACATCATGTTTTAGGAGAATTACACTGAGCCGGTTCATGGTGGATAAAGTCTTCTACAAGATGATACTCACTCAGTAATTCCAAGTTGTACACATTCATTCTGTTATTTTGTATATATTTTTTGCCAGCCTTTAAAATAAGAAATTCTAAGAATATAAAAAAAACTGTATTGTGGTATTTATAAAGATGTCAAAGTAACAAAATAGGAGACACAGAAATGTTTAAATAAGAAGTGTTGCTTCATAGAGCTAATTCTGTTTATTCTCCAAATAATATAAGCACAATGGATAAAACATCTGTTAAATTTCATGGTGATCTTTGGAATGTAAAGATGAGGGGAATCATTACAGACTACAAACTGATTGCAATTTTAGCACTATTTAAAGGCTTTATATGTGAAGATTTAAAAAAATAAAATATTTTACTAAGCAAATACTATTTCCTATGCTCACAGTTCATAGAAATGCTGTTGATGAGCCTGGCCTTGAACATTCTGGCTCTTTAGATGTACCATAGATGTTTGTAGTATTTGTCCTTTTTTTGAGAACAACATATACTTCTCTATAATAGAGGCTTACAACTGTGTCTCTTGATATTTGTTATAAAAATGGATTGTTAATCTGACATTGATCACAGTGTTTTAACTGAACCTAGAGAGTCAATTAAATTCCTTTAAAATTTCTTCATCCTGGTATTTAAATTTCAGAGGTATACTTATTCCCATTGTATTTGAAATAAGAACAAAGCCCCAGACTCTAGATCAGCAGAATCTCCTGTATGTAGAGCCTCCGTGCTATTGGTTTGTTAGTGGGAGATGTTCACATGACCTCTCCTTTGTGAGAAGAGAGTCTGGAGCCCTTCCCAGGATGCTCTCCTGTTCACTATCTTTTTAAACCCAAGTTGGAGGTTGTCTGATTAATGAATGGTGAGCTTTTCTAATCTGAGCTATGCATATTGTTGGCATTGTGTCACATGTTGCTTTTTAATTTCCGATGTGCCTAATGTGTTTTTAATTTGCAAAGCATGAGTGTTCCTTTCGTAGCAGTAGAATAGAGTCAGCATTTCTGAGTCCAGATATTGCTTTATGCAAGCAAGAAGGGTCAGACTGAATTGAAGCCCTGGGTTTCCTTCAACACACATGTCAGTGAATTTCACTTTAATTATTGCTGAATAAAAGAAGACACTTGAGAAAGCCTTTTCTTCCTAAGACCATCTCTTGTCTCTTGGCCAGTGAATTGCCCCAATATAAAAGCACAGGGTAAAATGAGTTACAGAGGGAAGAGGCAATCCACAAATGATCACTCTTTTCTGCCTTTGATTGTGTCAGATTGTGTTGTGTGTGTGGCAATTGTTTTCTTTTTCACTTAGAAGAGGTTTATGGTCCAATGTCTGTCAAGTCAGAGCCTGTCCTAAGGTGGCAGTTGTATTTCTCTCTGAGTTCCTGGAGGTGATGGTAAGCCTTTGTTCACCCAGCAGTATGCTTGCTCTGGAGAGCATCTGCCACTCTACGCATTACAAGATGGATGGGTCTCCAGTGAACTGCTGGGGGAAGCAAATGGTGAAAACAAGAAAAGACAAGAGGTTTCGGGGTCTGCAGAGGACAGACAACAAGGAAACACTTAGAAATCAAGAGCGAGCTGGGCGATACAGGAAGGGAGCAGGGATGAACCCGTGTGGCTCTATAAACATCTTGGAGCTCCGAATCTTTCAGTGGCTTGTTGTGGTCTGAGGGAGTGATCTACGTCATGGTAACAAGTTTATGCTTCTGATTTCCAAGGGGGGGGAGAAGGAGAGAGGGAGAGATGAAGAGAGGGAGAGGGAGAGAGAGAGTAAAGAAATAACAATAATGGTAAGGATGGTTTATGAAGATTTTGCTTTAAAAATTTAAAGAAGCTAAAAATTGAACTTTTAGCCATTTCTGTTTACATTCTCTCTTTTGCTTTTCCCTCCTTTCTGTTTCATAAGAAACTGACAACTTGAAAAGTTTTGGCCATGTACCAAATATCCTCAGTGTTTTCTAAACATTTTTTGGGGGACTTCTGCTGGGGAGTACTGAGAGTTCTTCTGTCTTAATGGAGGCTGTTGGGGGCGGGGGAGGGGGTTAAGTTGTTTTAAATTATCTCCAGTTTCATTTAATGGGTTCTGTGATGGAAGAAAATATATATGTATATTGTATTGATCTGTCAGCTGTTGGAGGTTTTGTATTTTACACGTTTTTTGTTGGTTAATGGTCACAGTGTGTAAATCCTTACTCATGCGAAGTCCCTCTTGTGGGACAAGAGAGGGAAGGAGATCTGCTAGGGATAGAAAAGGGGAGAAGAAAGAGCAGTGTACCCAGAAAACAAAAAAATGATTTCATCAAACATTTTGGCTTTGTCTAGGAAAAAGCCCATTGTTTGAAAGGCGGAGAGATTAAGATGCCTGGAAGCTTTAGCTATACACAAGGTGGAGCCTTTCCTTCTCCGCGGAGTAAACAAGAGATGAAAGCAGAGGAGTGACAACAAAGGGTCAGGTCCTTTAAGGAAATGTGTGCAGCCTGAAGAGGGGTCTGTGGCCCAGGGCCAAAGGTCTCAGCTTTAAGTGTAATTAGAAGAAAATACAAAAATGTCATTGCTGGCAGGTGAACTATGCAGCACGTGGCTAAAAATTAGCAATTTTAGACTCCAAAGCTATTGGAATTGGATTATTGACCTTTTTGAAAATCATTAAGGTACTTGGGGAGTCAGACTGTTCTCGTTGGCACTAATGTGGTTTGACCTCATTGACCATATGGGGTAGTCCTGGGTTTGGATTAGGTAGGAAGCCTCTGGATTCTGAAAGATGTTATTTGTTCATGTGTCAGTGGGAAGTGTGTGATCGTGATTCTTCTTCTGTGAAAAGGCATTCTTCCAATAAGGAGAGGTTATGATAAACATTTTTATCCCCAAATCTGAAATGTTTCTTTTCTGCCTTTAAGTTGACATAAAAAGAAGTACAAAAAGATTTTAACATGACTTCAAGTATTTTAGTATTATAAATATGTGTACCACACTTACTGCACTTATACATTCTTACAGAACTAAGACTCTGGTTTTCTTTTTTAGACACAGTAAAAGTTCAAAGTTATGTATAAAAATTAATGACAAGTTCCTTTAATTCATTTAAGGCCTTTGCAGCTTTATCTTATTTTTCATGCAGTAGTTTATATCAACCATAACCTAGTTGGCAGAGAGAATAATAGGCACATTATTCAATCTACTGTAGATAATTAAAATTAACTTAATACCTCCTAGAAATACACTGCTCAGAAAGCTAGGAAATAGCTTTTTCTCTTCCTGCAATTTTTCTTCCTGGAAATCATTAAAGACTCTCAAAAAGTAGAAAAATATTATTTCAATTATTAATTACATTTGATCTTTTGTATTTCTTTTTGTTTTGTTTTTGTTTTTGTTTTTTTGCTTTGTTTTGTTTTGTTTTTTTTTTTTTTGGTTTTTCAAGACAGGGTTTCTCTGTGTAGCCCTGGCTGTCCTGGCACTCACTCTGTAGACCAGGCTGGCCTCGAACTCAGAAATCCGCCTGCCTCTGCCTCCCAAGTGCTGGGATTAAAGGCGTGAGCCACCACCACCCGGCTGTATTTCTTTAAATAAATTAATTTTAGATAAATATCATGGATTGTAAAATTCCCAAATATCTTCAGATAAGAAACTTGCCTTGTATTAATTCCATTTCCAAGAGAGAAGTGTTCTGTGGACTTTTAGTGTGATGGTAACACTAGCTAAAAGTTGCTCAGCTTGCACTAAGATTTAAAAACAATTTCTTTTGAATACATTTGAATGTATATTGGAATGTGGTTCTCTGAGGAGTTCGGGAAGAGGAAGCATCTTTTCTTTTTCCCATTGGAACAAGTACAGAATTAGGTAGGACTTCTGTGATTTAATAGAATTTTGGGTAATATAGATTATTGTATTGTAAAATAAAAGGCACTTGGAAATAATTTGTGTTTTTATGTTTTCATAGGTGTAAAGAAACCTTAAGAAAGTTCTAATCTAGAACAAGCTCCCAGAGATGTTGACTGCCTAAGTTAACCATGAACATGATTTTAAAATGTTAATATATGAACCAAGGTATTGTATGATTATATTCTCAAAATTTTCATGATCAAATCCATTTGGGGAAGTTAAGTTACAGTTTAAATAAAGCATTCGATCCTTATGCTAACTAAGCAGATGTTTATATAGACCCCTCTCTTGTTCTTTTTCATCTTGTGTGCCTACCTGCACTTCGTTTTCTCTACTCATTCAGTAAAACTTACTCCAAAATACTTTTTTCTCCCAGCTAGCTCTGTATTTCCTATCAACATAAACTGGAAAAAAAAATGAATTCAAGGACTAAAGAGAAAGCTCATTGGTTGTAAGTGCTCACAGAGGGTAGATGTGCTTGCTAACCACTTTTCTAGAGGACTAAAATTTTTCCATCACCTACTTTAGGTGCTCCACCAGAAACTCCAGGTCTAAGAGATCTTCCACACACACAGACGTGCACACATATACACCTAAGTAAAAATACATCTCTTAACATTTCCCTCTTCACCTTGTTTTTTTTTTTAATTCTTTGAAAATTTCATCCTGTGTACAGCATGTCCTGATCATGCTCACCCTCAGCCCCTTCCATGATGCATTTTTTGGTTCCTTTTTGGCAATTGTAATTTTCTTTCAAATCGTCTGATAAGAGACTTCTAGACTCTCAGTTATGCAGAAAAACCCAAATTGTATTTACGAATCACATATGTTTAAATTTTATTTCACATGCTAATGTTCTGAGACCTGTGTTACAGAGGTCTTATAGGATGTGTTGGCTTTATTTTTAGAAGATTTCTAGCTCAGGGGAAAAGGGTGATACAGATCATCCTCTTCCCATAGCAAGGAAAAAAATGTTAAGAATTGAGAATTTAGGGTGACTATTATAGGTGAAGCTTGGCTTTATAAGGAACGTACCCCAAACTCTCTTTTCCCCTTTGGAAGTTGCAGTCTGTTTAAATAGCTGGTGTTTTCAAGCGAGGCCAAAGATCTCTTCCTCTTTTATGACCTGCTGTATCCCTTTGAGGCCATAGAGAACAAGAGGGTCATGGCCACTTCTCCATGGTCCCTGTTTGTTCTCTCAAGATGACCACGAAGACACTGAAACCCAGTATTGGCTCAACATCTGGAAAGCGGTCAAAGAGAGGGAGGAGGTAGGAGAGTGAGAGAACTTGCATTCTGTTTCACCAGGTGCCAGGAGGAAGCAACATTAGCCTTTTTGATATGGGAGGTAAATTCTGTGGGCCCTGGCATTAGGCTTCAACAATTGAAGAGGTCAAAGGACAGCTGAGCCGGGTCAGCGAGACACCATGGGGTGTATTTTGTTACTTAGTAAAAGGAGCAGCCTCCTAAAACCTTAAAGGATTCCCTTGAAAAATCTGTGTTGTGAAAAGGTTTTATGAGTCTCGTGGCAGTAACCCCTGATTTATCTGAGGAACGCTAGCTTTTGTCTAATGGAGGATAATCCTCACCAAATGTTGTCGAGGACTCAGACTCAGCATAGGTCTGAAAGAACAGTTAGGATTTCAAGTGGACTTGGCTTTCTAGAACGTTTATCATTTTAATGTTTCTGTCGCAACAAAGAATTTTGCACTGTGGAAATATTGCCTTTTCTTTTTCTTGGAACAGAAAGCAGTTAGGGTAATGCTGGGGCAGGGAGCTGGTCACATTAATTTCAAAATTATTCTACGTGCTTCAGACCTTTCTAATACACAGAGAACTATTAAACCTTTTTCAAATATCAAAACCTGCTAACTCTAGAATGTTGTCTTTAAATTTATTTTTATTGCATTTATAAACGGCTTACATGGCATGAAGTATGTTTCTGGCTCACAGTTTAAATTCTTTTTAATTATTATTATTTTCTGTGTGTACGTGTAGTCTGGGATTGAACTCAGGGCCTGATATATGCTAGACAAGCACTCAACCACTGCGCTACAGCTTTTAATTTTTACTGACTTTTAATTTCAACTGTTAAGAGTTGGCAGAAGGGAACTATGAGCTGATGACTAACATCAAATCCTCCACTTTTCCCTGAAAAACAGACATGTTTTATATATACTGTATCAGGAAGAGAAACTCAGTGTGAGAGGAAAGAATAAAAGTGTTTTATTGTGTAGCCCAGTGGCAGAGCACTTGGCCAGTGTATGTGATACCCTGGGTTCTATCTCCAACACTGACAGACAAAGGCAGTACAAAGGACTCTCTTTGAAAGCAGTTGGAAAATCAGGGAGGGATGTTTGTAGAGAGGGCTCTTCTTGTTGGATGATTTGTGAATACGTTTAAAGACGTTAGCCTCCTGGCAGACAGGCAATGACAATATTTTGATATTCTACTTTATACATCATGCATATATACATATATAGAAAGAAGGCATATGTGTCAATATAAAATATTAATATAGAATAATAATATTAAAAAAAAACCTTGTGTATGATAAGCCTTGTTAAACACTTTTACTAATTTGTAAATTAGCTGTTGCGATTAGTGTATTTATTAACTACAGACAAACAGCGTTTTTCAATCCTTTTTTCAGTAATGACTCCTATTCAGGGAACATGTATTCAAGACATAACCTATTTTCTCAAGGTTAAAGTGCCTTTCAACAACTAATTTAGAAACCTGAGTACGGTGGCTGATAACTGCCTAGAGAAAACACACAGCTGTTTAAGTAGCATTGAAATTGCGGCAAATCTGACAAGTGCAGTCAGCAGAGTTAATTAAATAAGGAAAGACTGATGGGGAAAGAACATCGAGGTGGGAGGGAGAACACAGGTTGTGGGGCATGGGGGGATAAGAGGGGAACACGGGGTGGGAACACTGGGGGGGGCAGGAATAGGGATGGAGCAAAGCAAGAGCTCCACGAGGAGGGTCACTTGCTCTTCTCTGTGACATGGTGTCCCCTCTCCTAGTGTGTCCTCCCAATTAAACAGTGTGCTGCCTCGCAGCTGCACAATGCAGGTGCTTTTGTAAGAAGCCCCAAGCTCACATCTGGCTGGAAAAAGCAAGTGTTTGATGATAGGGTCTAGGAAGAGTGATCGAATTCTGGCACTGAACTACAATGTGATTTGCTGGCCTTTGATGTACCTGTATATTACTATATTACTATTTTACTATTTTACTATTTTACTATTTTACTATTCCTACTTTGAACCTGGATTTCTTTTCCCTCTTTGCACTGCTTAATTCTTACCCAGGTGCATGCTAAGGGGACTCTGTTTCTACATTAAATTACCCAGCCTCACTCAAACCAAACAGACTGTGCAAGTCTTTAATGTGTCGTTACTTATATATCCAATGGGTTAGTGCTCCTAGCTCACTTTCTACACAGTCTTTTAAAAATCAAATGGGGATGGTTAAATAAGAGAAATTAAGCAAAAAAAAAAAATCATTATCTTTGCCTTTGTTGCTTGCTACACTTTCAAAAGTACCGACTGACATTTAGAAAGTTGTTTTAGTAGTGTCTTTTAAATTACATTTGCATTTGGGAAACTCGTTTTTTGCCTCTGGAGCTTTATGCAGATTTTAATCCCCACAGAAGTAGATCCTCCAAAATCACAGAGGTTTTGAAATCTGTCCATGACAGTCCTGATGGATGTGATGACCCACACTTTGGAAGCATTTCTCATTATTTAATGTTTTTTGTTCTGGATTATTGACTTTTCTTCCTAGTGAAAAATTGGTCTCTGGGGACATGGTGGAGCTATTGCTGCTTCCGACACTCTGCTACCTTGAGTGCAGGCAGTTCCAGAGTCCTGACAAAATGGTTTTTTCTTACAGAAGAATTTCTGGTATTTTAGGAACGAAAATAAAGGTTTCGAGTAGGAATACTGTATCCCCTTGTTACAAATTGGAGTTCTGCTTCATCTTCCTATGATAGTCTTCTAATTGCTATGAAATCACCAGGTGTATCACAGTAGTTCTGTGGTTCTGTCCATGGCTGAGGACCATTACACGATCTACTGAAAACAGTAGAATTTAGAATTAAGTTACTAAGACTGCTTTAAGAAAATGCCAGTACTTTTGGCTTCAGAACCTGTCAAAATAGACATTCCCCCATCCAAAGGTACAAAAGACTGAAGCATCATCTGGGTTTCTTTTTCATTGATTTATTTATTTATTCACTTTGCATCTTGATCGCAGCCGCCCTCCTCCCAGTCCCAACCTCACAAGCCCTCTCCCCTTCTCCTCAGAGAAGGGGAAGCCTCCTTTGGGTACCACTCTTCCCAGGGACATCAAGTCACAGCAGGACTAAGTACCTCCTTTCCCACTGAGGCCCAACCAAGCAGTCCAGCTTAGGAAAAGGGATCCTTTGGCAGGCAACAAAGTCAAAGACAGCCCTCACTCCAATTGTTAGGGGACCCACATGAAAACAAAGCTTCACATCTGCTACAAATGTGTAGAAGACCCAGGTCCAGCTCCTGCATGCTCTTTAGTTAGTGGTTCAGTCTCTGTGAGCCCCCTTGGGGCCAGGTTAGTTGACTCTGTAGGTTGTCTTGTAGTGTCCTTTACCCCTCCACCTTGTTCAATCCTATCCCCTACTCTTCCCCAAGACTGCCTGGGCTCCCCATGATGTTTGGTTATAGGTCTCTGCAACTGTGTCTGTCTGCTGCTGGATGAAGCCTCTCAGGAGATAGTTATTCTAGGCTCCTGTCTGCAAGCATAGGAGAGTATCATTAATAGTGTCTAAGTTGGCTCTTTCCCAAGGGATAGGTCTCAAATTGGGCCAGTCCTTGGTTAGCCATTCCTTCAATCTCTGCTCCATCTTTATCCCTGTGTGTCTTGTAGGCAGGACAATTTTTAGATTGAAGATTTTGTGTGTGTGTGTGTGGGGGGGGGTTGATGTCCCTCTCCCTCTACTAGAATTCCCACCTAGTGAACCATTGTCTTTTAATCTGATTGCGTTTTCATATCTTTAGCGAAAAGGATGGATTTGAAAATGTAGTAAAGCACATTTGTTTTGAATGCATGTTTAGTTTTGTACTATATTGGAATTTGCTTAGAAAAAGATAGTATTGCGTCAAATCTGCTTAATATACAATTATATAAGATACAAAAATTCAGTCTCCCTCTGCTCCCTCAATTCTGGTATCACATGATATCTACCCATCCCAAAAACTCACAATCAAATAAGGGAGTTAAACAAATACTCAACCCAGCTAATACAGGTAGTTAAGGGTAACAAATATATATTTAAAAGAATAGACACAGCTGAGATTTAGCTCAATAGTAGAGCACATAGTTAGCACACACAAGGACTGGGGTCAATCACCAGCATCAGTAAATAAGTAAATAATAAAACTCTAAGACCCAAAAGAGGTCGAACTGTGCATGTGTGTTTGTGTTTAGTTTGGGCTTAAAGGATCCATATGAGGGGCTGGAGAGATGGCTCAGCGGTTAAGAACACTGACTGCTCTTCCAGAGGTCCTGAGTTCAATTCCCAGCAACCACATGGTGGCTCACAACCATCTGTAATGGGATCCGGTGCCCTCTTCTGGTGTGTCTGGAGGCAGGCAGCTTCAGTGTACTCATAAAATAAATAAATACATCTAAAAAAAAAAAAGGCTCCATATGAACCTAAAAGACCCTAGCTTGGTGTGTTTGTTTGAGAGCCACATATCTCTCTCAGTCTGTCCTGAGCTATAGCCTTAAACCCATACTGAAGATGTTAGTAAGAAAGAGCATATAATCTACAGCACAACAATGCTCCCTTTCCTTCTGAAAAATCAAATTGTACTGCTGGAAGGAGCTTGGGAAGGTGTTCAAGCTCATAACCGAGCTCTCTGAACCTAAGAAGTGCTTCGTCTCACACTTATTGCCTATGTCCAGTAAGATGGCTACTTGGCACATGTAGCTGTTTAAATTAAGTACAATTAGGAACAGTATGCAGCCACAATAGCCATATTTCAGGTCTTGGCCATCACATGTGGCTTACAGACACCATGTGCTGAAGCTGAATACACAGAACATTCCTGTCGGTCTGGGATGTCTGTTGAGTAGCACTTGTGCCAAATGTTATTCAGGATTTTTTTATCTGGTATAAAATGTTTTAACGAATTATATATAATGGTAAATAGCAGGTTTTGGAGTTTTTATATTAATAGCTATATGTGACTGAAGCAGAAACCTAGAGCCTGCTGTAACACCCAACACGCTCAAAGGAGTGTTTGTCTTCTCTTAGTAATCCTAATGTAGCCAATGCTGAGACACCAAAACAAAAGGCAACCTTTGCTGCTAACTCTTTATGTACATGAGCCTATATAGGCGCTTTATATAAGACTTTATAGATTCAAAATCTCATTTAGTCTCATAAAAACTAGGAGATTGGCAGTCTTGTCCCCATTCCACAAATGAGAGATGAAGTAGGCAGTGCCACCCAGGAAACTATGGGGGAAGGAATGAACTTCAAAGCCTATGTGCTTGACTATGATGTTCTCAGTAGTGAGAGATGGTAATGATGGATAGTGTCAAGTGTGGAAAATGTGTGACAATGTCTGTAAAAACAGAGGGAACAATCCAGTAGGTTGCACAAAGCTGTCTCTTTTTCTGTGCTATCAATAAATTCTGCCTTTAAAATAATCTCAAAACCCCTTATGGTCCACCCCACTAAAAGGACATCTGCCTTCATTTTTATCTCTCTCTGTCTCTGTCTGTCTCTCTTTGTCTCTGTCTCTGTTTCTCTGTCTCTCTGTCTCTCTCTGTCTCTCTGTCTCTCTCTCTCTCTCTGTTTTTCTCTGTCTCTCTGTTTTTCTCTCTGTGTGTCTCTGTCTGTCTCTGTCAGTCTCTTTGACTCTCTCCATCTCTCTCTGTCTCTCTCCGTCTCTCCCTGTCTCTTCCCCTCCCCCTCTCCCTCCCCCTCCCCTCCCTCTTCCCCCTCCCTCTCCCTCTCTCCCTCTCCCTCTCTCTCTCTCTCCCCCTCTCCCTCTCTCCCTCTCTCCCTCTCCCTCTCTCCTTCTCCCTCTCTCCCTCCCCCTCCCCCTCTCCCTCATCCCTCTCCCTTTCTCCCTCTCTCCCTCTCCCTCT